AACCTACCCAGACATCTAGAAATTGTCTATCTGCCTCTGAGTATTTGATCATTCTTGGAACAAAAATAGTGCAATAAAAGGTAATATTAATCACTGAAGGCTGTGAAACTCTGCAGAGAAATCAGAAGTATCCACTTGTGAAGACTAACATCACAAGAGAAAGGGATCCAGTATTTACAGCATCCAGTGGAGAATTCTGGAAAGCCCTGAATGTGATCTGTGTCCACTAAGGAAAGCCACACGGTTCTCTCTGGAGCTGAGGAGGAACAGAGATGCGGTATTCACTGCTGAGCTCTACAGCCTCCCTGTAGTTGAGCCCCTCCAAGAGGGACAATAATAGCAACATAAATTTCAAGGCAAAGCCCCTACATGGTAACCCTGGATGACATAAGCCAAAGTTTCTGGTGTTAAACTGATAAACCAAAGCCAAAAAGAAGTCTTCTGAAGGACTCCTTCCATGAGTGATTAACCTTGGCAAATCAGATGTCTACCAGATAGTGCAAAAAGGGCAAGAGAGGGCTCTGATACCCTTCAAACTCCCAGTAGTGTAGAGAAAAACAGCATCCAGACCACATCTTTGTCAAAGACTGCTGTTGGACCTCTACTGGCAATGGACAGCGCTAGAAGAACTTGTGTACTGCACCGGTTTATGAATGGACACTGGAGTTTTTGTGGCTGGGGGGGGTGTGAATTCAAAGGAGCCAGTTTCAGTAACTTCCTGCAACACTTTTAGAGGAGCTCTGGAATGTTTCAACGTGATTGGGCTGGAGTAGAGAAATTAAGCAAAACTGGGACAGCACAGAATTGTGTGTTCTTGGAAACCTATTCAGAGCGATCAGAACCAGCAGCCCAACACCACTGCCCAGGAGCCTTCTCCAATGCAGAAAACCAGTGCAGACAGTACCTCAAATCTAACAACAACTGTCTTTAGGAGAAGGTATTAGATCCCTGTCTGTGTTGGGTCTGCATTTTAAAGGGATCTTAAACCATGTAAGATTGCTCCAGCAATTAACACGCACTACGTATGAGTCCCTGGGTAAGGCACAGTCCTCTCAGATGGCATACGTGACAGGAACGTGATCTTCAGAGGTCACTGCTCTCTACAGGTATCACAAAAGTTAACTGTTGCTTTGAGAGAAGTTTTTCTTGCCCAGCAGGAAAAAGGAAATTGCTGATTTAGATTAGTTTGTAGAACTTGGCAAAACGCAAGTAAATTGGAAGTTAAAATTATTAAATAAAGCTATACTGACCTCTATATATCATCTTATTCCAGCAAGGCTCTGAGAACATGATTAAAAATCTATCAAGCTCATAATCCTTAATTGTGATATCATGTCTCAGCATCATAAATATCTTAAATACTGCTGTAACCTATGCAAGTACCACACAGTTTTGTTGCTGAAAGAACACAGATAAGTGCGCGCTGAAGCGCGTCTTTAACAAGACTTGAAAAGATTATTTTCAGAATGAAGTGACCAAAACTTACCTAACAACTCTGGTTCTCATGGTGGTGTTAGCTGGCCACTTGTTTTGAACAGACTTCTGTAGGCACCCATAAATATACCTCAATGTCCTGCAAAAATTAAATAGACAGAATCAAAAAAGCTGGTCAGGAAAGATCTAGACCAACCTAGAACTATTATCAAATCTACGTTTATAATTTAGGCATAAGCTTTACATTTACTTTAGCTAAGAGTTAATTTGTAAGTTAATAAATTTATAAAAAGTCAATTTGTAAATTTATAAATTTATATTAACAAGTAAATTTATAAATGGCAAGAACAAAAATTAATACACAATTCTATATGCAATTCAGTGATTATTCATATGTGCATTAAATATTTTGTAACTGTGTTTCCTGTTCCTTAACTAGTATTTCCTTTTGAAAGACAATTTTGATGGTCTGACTTCTTAATTTTTTTTTTTTTTTTAATTTTTATCTTCTTAACTAAACTATTTTCCATAAATAACTATTTAAACTATTAAATACTTTAAACTATTCTTTCCATAAATGAGGGTTAGGTGTTTAAAGTTAAGCAACCACCTCTCCCATTAAAAAAAAAGGGAAAATTATGGTGTATTTCAGAGAACGTTGAGAGCTTCATCATATACTGAAAAGGAGAGCAACTTTTAATGCTAACCTTGCCAGAAATAACACAAAAGAAACACTTCTGTGGTATTCTGCCATCTCAAAATTGAGGATTTTATTTAGTTTGAAAGCTAATGACATAGTGAAACAAAACTTTCAGTACTATCCGCTTTTTCTTGGATGTTTCAAATCTAGACTAGGAGTACATTCTTCTAGCAATTAAAAAAAAAAAAAGGGAAACAAAAATATAACTTCTGCATTTCCCTAGCAGACAGAAGCAATCAGAGCATGGTATCGTTCTACTACCACTATGTGCTTGTATTTTTAATGTACTGTTAATAATTCCACCTTCCTTCTCAGAGGAGAAGGACTGGAAATAATTTATTATCAACTTAAATATATATAATTGACTGCTAACCAGTACTGTCTTCTAACTTTTTGTGGAAATATGAGATTTGACTATTTTTATTTTTTTATTATTATTTTTTTATTATTTTATTTTTATTATTCTTCTTTCCCTGACCTCTTGGCTTTAGCAGCTTCTCCTTCAAAGAAAAGCCCATGTGCTAGCCGGAGGCTTCTGAAAAAAACACTATTAATTCCTGCAAGTGGTCTGTTTTTTGGTTTTTTTTTGCCATTTATATTCCTCTGTGTGCATACAGCAACCCTAAATTAGTCTAATGACTGATTAGTATCAGATGAATCATTAAGAACAGCATTTTAAGGTGCAAAGTAATTAACACAAACTGGAATTCTCAAATACAAATCTGAACAGAAATATGCAAACTTACGGAGGCAGTATCTCTGCAGCCATGAATATTTTCTCCACCAATTCTGAAAGTATACTGAGTAGATGTGCCAAATTAGTGTTTACATCTTCATTCTTTTCTAACTTTGAGGGATTTAACTAAAACGAAAAGAGTTAAAGGTTATGTTTCTTCTTCTAACTAGAACTACACAGATATTTTCATAATTTTACACACTGAAAACTACTTCAAAGTAAATTAAATCACAGAATCACAGAA